AAAAAAAAAACTCCTTTTCATGTATTCAAATATTGATTGATCCCCAACTACATGCCAGATGTGTGTAGGCTCTTGATTCAAATCACCCTATAAATTGCTGTTTGAGCCCTTAAGATAAACAGGTGAGAGGTCAGCCTCAGCTGTTGGCCTGACATCTACCTTCTCTTTTTTTTTTTTCCCTGCTTCTCACCCCACTTCCAGTCAGACTCAGTGAGTTGCCCACTCGAAGTAGCGCTGCTATGGAAGGTGGGTGAAGGCGGGGGGCACCCTGGTGTGATCCGCCTGCTTGACTGGTTTGAGACACAAGAGGGCTTCATGCTGGTCCTTGAGCGGCCTTTGCCTGCCCAGGATCTCTTTGACTACATCACAGAGAAAGGCCCACTGGGTGAAGGCCGAAGCCGCTGCTTCTTTGGCCAGGTAGTGGCAGCTGTTCAACACTGCCATGCCCGTGGAGTTGTCCATCGTGACATCAAGGATGAGAACATTCTGATAGACCTCCGCCGTGGCTGTGTCAAACTCCTTGACTTTGGTTCCGGTGCCCTACTTCATGATGAACCTTATACTGACTTTGATGGTAAGGTTTCCCTAAATCTCGTGGGGGTTGCCTTTTGACTTGGTGATAAGGTGTCTGTATTGATATATAATATAGGATTCTTGGCCTTGCCCTCTGATAGAGTTCATCTGACAGCACACTAACCTTGTTTTGCTGTTATATTTTGGTAGGCCTGTCCTAATTGTTAAGTCCTTTTATTCTGATGTGAGGATTCTGCTGTTACTATTGCTTCTCTTTTTCTGCTGGTGTGACCTGGACATTATATTTTAAAAGCTATTATTCAGCCAGGCACTGTGGCTCACGACTGTTGTAATCCTAGCACTCTTCAGTTTAGGATTTCAAGACCAGCCTAAGCAAGAGCCAGACCCCGTCTTTACTAAAAAATAGAGAAAAACTAGATTGGGCACAGTGGCTCACACCTGTAATCCTAGCACTTTGAGAGGCTGAGGCAGGTGGATCACCTGAGCTCAGGAGTGTGAAACCAGCCTGAGCAAGAGCTAGACCTGCCCCTCTCAAAAATAGCCTGGTGTTGTGGCGGGCACCTGTAAGTCCCAGCTACTTGGGAGGCTGAGGCAAGAGGATCTCTTGAGCCCAAGAGACTGAGGTTGCTGTGAGCTATGATGCCATTAACACTCTACCAAGAGCATCAAAATTAATGTCAAATAAAATTAATAACTACTATTCTAGTTAGGGTACCCTTCTCTTACAGTGAGTGCCCTTAACTATACTGAAAGGACCTTACTTTGTGGGGAGCGTGGGGTAGGAAAAGGGTATCATCAGAGTGGTGTGTGTAACCCCTGGCTTTCTGTGCAGGGACAAGGGTGTACAGCCCTCCAGAATGGATCTCTCGACACCAGTACCATGCACTCCCAGCTACTGTATGGTCACTGGGTATCCTCCTCTATGACATGGTGTGTGGGGACATTCCCTTCGAGAGGGACCAGGAGATTCTGGATGCTGAGCTTCACTTCCCTGCCCATGTTTCCCCAGGTGAGACCCTCACTGACACCCAGCCCAGAAGATTCCATCCCTCCCAGGGATCCCCTACTAACAGCTAATCTTCCCTATGCTTCTTGACCCACAGACTGCTGTGCCCTAATCCGCCGGTGCCTGGCCCCCAAACCCTCTTCCAGGCCTTCACTGGAAGAGATCCTGCTGGACCCCTGGATGCAAACACCAGCTGAGGAAGCACCCCTCAATCCTACCAAGGGAAGCCCCACCCCTTTGACCTGGTCTCTGCTACCCTAGGCCTGGCCAAGACCCCACTGGTCAGAATAGCCGTCCCATGGCCACGCTACAGGGATAGATGGACATTTGTTGACTTGGTTTTACAGGTCATTTCCAGTATTACTGAGGTCAGGGATTGGGGATCAGGGGTCAGAAGATAATATAAGCCAAGTCTGCCCAGTCCCCATCCCAATTCTGTGAAGGCCCCTTCCTCCTAGAACCAGTGATTCCTTATTCTAGACTGAGGGAGGACTTCTTTGTTTCTCATTTTGCTAAGGATGTTTATTTGGGCAAAGTTAGTTCCATTCTGAGCCGTGGGACTCTTATTCTGATGACTTGTTACCCCTACACTAGCACCTCCTATTATCACCACACAAACTTAGTTCACACGCTCTTATTTGGGCAAGGGTGCTTTCCTTTAAATACCCTAGTAGTTATTTTAGCAATGGGACCATTTCCCCTAGCCTAGGGTCCCATCTTGGGTCAAGCTGTTTGCCTACCTCAGCCCAGGATTGCTTATTCTGGGGGAGGTAATGCCCTGTTGTCATCCCAGGGCTCTTTTTTGGTGAGGGGATCCTACTCTGTTATCCCAAGTGCTCTTATTCTGGTGAGAAGAACCTTCCTTGATTTGGGAAGGAATGGGAGATGGACACCACCGGACACCACCAGAGACTAGGATGGGATGGATGGGTTTTGGGGGGATGGGCTAGGGGAAAAGTCTTACTGTGTGTTCTCCTGGGGCCCCTCCCCAACTTGTGGATTCTTGCTGCCTCCTCCTGAGCCAGTATTGTCCAACTGCTAAAGTATAAATACTTACATATTAGGAGGAGGTAATCTACAAGTGTGCCCTCTTCTCCCTTCTCCCCCTGCCTGGATTATTTAAAAAGCCATGTGTGGAAACCCACTATTTAATAAAAGTAATAGAATCAGAAGTGACTGGCCATTTGTAGATGGGAGGCATTTGTGGATTGTCTACCATATGTTAAGCCAGGAAGGATATTGCACCTCTCCTTTGCCCTTGGGCCATCCTAAAGAGCATTGATGGGTTCTTTGAAGTTGGACCACAAAAACTTGATTTCTCTCCCAGGTCTTCCTATAACACCCAGTAACTGTAAAAGGTGGTATTGTAGACATTAAAGCATCAGCAATCAAAGATAGCTGGGGGGGGGAACTGCCCAACCTCAGGGTAAGGAAGAAATCCCATTGGAGGAGAAATTTCCTTTCAGAGCCCAGGGGCTGAGAGCTGACTGCAATCTTCGTTCTTTTCTAATATTCAGGGTGTAGTCTCCTATTTTTGCCCTAATTTTGACCCTCTTCTCCCCCTTACATGTAGCGTGTTTTCAACCTTAAACTATTTTACCCTAGTGTGTCTTGGTTTTACGCGTCCTGACCTCCGAAGTCCCCATTTTGCCCCCGTTTTCAAATACTAGTTAACCTATAAGTTTATCACCTACCTCATTCGTTTTTCATTCATAGTGGTGGCTCACTTGACCTCCCTTCTCTTGTCTCAGCTTTCCTTTGACTCTTCACTTGTATATCCTCACCTAGCTGCTTTTGTCTGCTAGCTTATTTGCCTGATCCTAGCCTCTATTCACCTGCTGCTTCACCCACTACTCCCTCATCTGCCCCAATCTCGAGGTTTCTTGTCCCTTCGGAGATGGCCATAGGCTCTCCAGGGGGCAGGGCCTCGCTGGGATAGGGGAAAGAGGAACTAGGAAAGCCTTAGTTTTCTGATGCGGAAAAGGCCATGCCGTCTTAAGGGTGTCAATAGAGCGCCGAGACAGAAAAGGAGTAGCTGAACCAGCGAGGTCAGGAGATGGGAAAGCGGGAATCAGGACGGCAGTGCGAGGGCGGGTCCAGGAGCAGGAACAGACCAATGAGTGCTCTGTAAAGACGCCATGTTCCAGGTTTCCCGGTCCAACGGAATTTGGGAATCCCGAGGCAACTGATTGAGACTCAGCTTTTAGAAGCCGACAAGGAACTACAACAACCTGGCCAACCGGGTTCACACCCCACCCCGAGGCCCGGAAGCGGAAATGACGGACACGGAAGTGCCCTGCTGTTGCCGAGGGGACGGGCCGGGTAGATGCCAACATGGCAGCGGTTGGGGCTGGAGGCTCCACCGCGGCGCCCGGGTCAGGGGCGGTCTCTGCGGGGGCATTGGAGCCTGGGACTGCAAGTGCGGGTGAGACAGCCAGTGGTCGAACAGTCAGCAGCGGGGCGGAGGTTGGGATCGCTGGAGACCGGGAACGTTCCTCACTGAAGTGAGAGGAAGCATCCCGTGTGAACCGACGCGCGTGTGTGTGTGTGTGTGTGTGTGTGTGTGTAGGGGAAGGGAGGACAGAATGAGCCATGTTGAGTGTGTTGGGCGGGGAAGAGATCTTTCTGAGGGCGATTGGGAGGGAGGTCCTTCCGCATATGGAAAGGAGAGACCATTGTCAGTATGGAAGATATTTCCTTTGGGGGAAGCTAAGACCACCGAGATCGTTCTGAGTAGGTGAGGTCCTTTATTGAAGGGAGAGACCATTTTGAGGGTGTGGGAATTCTTCCTTATAGAAGGAAGAGACTATTCTGAGGGTGACGGTTCCTTCCTTATAAAGGGATGGGGACTATTGTGAGTGAGTAAGGTTTGGGCGGGTCCTTCCTTATGACTAGAAAGGGTCCATTTTGAGTTTGAGGGTGAGGGTGTCCTTTAGGTCCCTTCTTAATGGAGACAGAGTTCATTGTATGTTGGGGTGGGAGGACTGGTCCTTACCTGGTGAAGAAAGAATGTTCTGATGGTGCCAGGTCCTTCCTTATAGCAGAGAGTTCATTGTGAGTGTGGTAGAACAAAGAATAATTCTTTGGCTGGGGAGGGGGTTGTGCATTGATGGGAGGACAGACCACGTGGAGTACAGGGAAATATTTCCTTTATTGCAGAGGGATATAGACCATTCTTGGTAGGGTGACCATTCATTATATGGTTTAATCCCTTGAGCGATGGGGGAATAATTTCTTATATTTGTCAGACCATTCCAGGTCAATCAGTTGTCATGGGAAATAGGGGTTGAAAGACCATTATTAGTGTGGGAAGGATCATTCCATATGGGATATAGACCATTCTGAGTGTGAGGAAATGGAATCACTTCTTGGATGGGAGCAAAACCATTCCTTAGGGAATGGACATACCTGTACAGTGGTCTGATTCCTTGTATTGGTGTGTTAGTCTTTACATGGGACAGTCCCTCATTAAATAGGAACATCGTTTCATATAAATCCTCAATTTGTTCATCCATAAAATGTGAATCTTCATAGTTCTTTTTTTTTTTTTTTGTAGAAACAGAGTCTCACTTTATTGCCCTAAGTAGAGTGCCATGGCATCACACAGCTCATGGCAACCTCCCACTCCTGGGCTTAGGCAATTCTCTTATCTCAGCCTCTCGAGTAGCAGGGACTACAGGTGCCCGCCACAATGTCTGGCTATTTTTGTTGTTGCAGTTTGACTAGGGCCAGGTTCAAACCCACCAACCTCAGTGAGCCACAGGTGCCACCCTTCATAGTTCTTTTGGAGATCAGAGTGGTATGAGGAGTCTGTTGAGGTAATTCATATAAATCACTTAGCCCAGTGATAGGCACACAGTAAGCACTCAGTAAATTTCAGGAATGTAGTTGTGGTATTCTGCCTGGGAAAGAGTTGCTTCTCAGTCAGGGGAGGAAGAGAGGCAGCCCAGATGCGTGTCCAGGGCCTGCCCTAGCCATTTCCTGACACTGTGGCAAGAATTCCAGGTATGGGATGGTCAGGGTGGAGCCCACTTCTCCCTTTCTGGCTCTTCCTGCTTGTGACTGAGCCAGTGGGAACAGGTGTAGATCAGACTCTTAGTCAGGGCAGGCAAACAGAGGAAGGAAGTGGCAGTGGCTAGGAGAATCCTGGTTGAGAGAGGAGAGCGGTTGGGTGGTTGTGTGGCTGTGCCCCAGCAGCTTCTGACCTCCTCGTTGCCCCTTGTCCTGCCTGTTCTCCACAGCTCACCGGCGCCTCAAGTACATATCCCTAGCTGTGCTGGTGGTCCAGAATGCCTCTCTCATCCTCAGCATCCGCTATGCCCGCACGCTGCCTGGGGACCGTTTCTTTGCCACCACCGCTGTTGTCATGGCTGAAGTGCTCAAAGGTCTCACCTGCCTACTCTTGCTGTTTGCACAGAAGAGAGGTATGAGACTGGGAGGGGGATACACTGGCGCTGGTGGGGAGACTCTGTGTGTGTGTGTGTGTGTGTGTCCGTCTGTCTGTCTGTTTCTCTCTCTCCATGTGGAGGATCTGCTGTGAGTGTGTGTGTGTGTGTGCGTGTCTCTGTCTGTCTGTCTGTTTCTCTCTCTCTTTCCACATGGAGGATCTGCTGCCGGGAGAGCGTCTCTGTGTCTGTGATCCTGCCTGGGAAGTATGTAAGTGCAGCTGACCTTTTCCAGCTTGGAACAGCTGCATCTATACTTTTATAACCCTAACACTAGAAGCTGTCTATGCCCATAAAGTAGTATGAGACATTTATGTACTGACTTATTTATTTATGTTTAACTTTTTATTAGGGAGACTTTTAAACATATACAAAAATAGGAAAGAATAATAAAATAGTAGAATATCCATGTACCCATCCCCTAGAGGTAGCAATTAACAATTCATGGCCACTTTGCCATTAAACAGCATCAATGATTATCCACTCAATCTATATGTCTACCTACAGACCTACCCCACCGTGTGAAGCAAACACACATGAAGTAATTACTGTTTTGAAGTAAGTCCCCTATCATCATAGCTAACTGCAGCCTCAAACTCCTGGGGCCAGATGATCGATCCTCCTGCTTCAGCCTCTTGAGTAGCTGGGACTATAGGCTTGTGCACCATGCCTGGCTAATTTTTCTATTTTTTTGTAGAGACGTGGGGTCTTGCTCTCACTGAGGCTGGTCTCAAACTCTTGAGCTAAAGCAGTCTTCCTGCCTCAGCCTCCCAAAGTATTAGGATTATAGGTGTGAACCACTGAGCTGTTCCCTCCCCCATATTGTCTTGAGTAAATGTCTTGGTACATATTTTTGAAAAATAAGTACAATACTTAAGAATCATACATCAAGAAATTAACAATAATTCAAAAAATAATAATAATTAAATATCTAGTGCCCAAATTTATACTGATTTCTTAACTGTCATAGTTTTTAAAAATGTGTCCATAGGGGCCAGACACAGTGGCTCACACCTGTAATCCTAGGGAGGCCGAGGCAGGCGGATTGCCTGAGCTCACAGGTTCTAGACTAGCCTGAGCCAGAGTGATTGTTGAAGCAATTAATTGTTGAAGCAAGTCATTTGTCTTGTAGACTTTACATAGTCTGGATTTTGCTGACTGCCTCCTTGTAGTATCATTTAACATTCTGCTGTCCTATACATTTCCTGTAAATTAGGAGTTGGGTTTATCTGTTAATTTAAACATCTCCCCCAGAGGCCTTCTAATTGAAATGTTGTGCAATTGTTTGTAAAGGCCTTGCATGTGTAAAGGATAGAGATGAATTATGAGAATTATGCACTTCTTTTCTAGGTTTTTGCATTGAAGAAAACATTCTTACTTACCTTACCCACTTGTTAACTCTGGGTCTCTGGAAGGCAGCAGCAGTTTAGGAACCCTCCGGTGCTTTTCTTAGTGGACCCATAAACAGTGTAGGAGTGAACACTGCCTCAGGCCGTAGGCTGTGGAGGTGGACATGTTAATAGTGCAGATATGCATCTTGTCTTCATAGGACTGATGTTTGAGATAGGAATAATAGCTCCAGATTTAATCACAGGCCTTCATCTCTTAGCCATGATTTCAAACCTCTCTCCCCCATTTTTCCCCCTTAATTAGTTTGGTGGTAAAGCCTACCTGACCTGATATGGAGCTCTTTGTATATTTGTGTTCTTTATCTCATTTGTTCTGAATATTCACACAGTTCATTGCTGAAATATACATGGTACCTGGCTATGGTGTGGCAGCTCCCTCTGTTTTTTTTGTTTGTTTGTTTTTTGTTTTTTTTTTGAGGCAGAGTCTTGCTATGTCGCCCTTGGTAGAGTACCATGGTGTCACAGCTCACAGCAACCTCAAACTCTTAGGCTTAAGCAATTCTCTTGCCTCAGCCTCCCAAGTAGCTGGGACTACAGGTACCTGCCA